GCTCAAAAAATAGTCCCCAGACTATGTTTGGACTATTGTTGCTTCTTTTCATGGTATTTTTTAAACTTTTCGTCGAACATCCTCCTGTAGGGGGACAGGCCCGACTTGGCGCTCGCCTCGGTGGCCTTCGGCGCCCGCCTCCGTGGCCTCCGGCGCCCCTCGGCCCGCAGCTCCGGCGGCCTCTGCAGCGGTCTTCCCGGAGGCCCCGCGTCGACCTCCGGCCGTGCTCGGTGGCCCTCGGCGGCCGCCGTCGCGCGAGGGGCCGGGCGCTGCCGCGCGCCCAGCTCTGGTGGCCGGAGGTGATGGGCGTGTTTTCCACCACCACCACCATAAGTTGGAGGGGGGGGGGAGGAGGAGGAGGACGAGGAGAAGGAGGACGAAGAAGAGAAGGAGGAGGACCCCCTCCCCCTCCAACTTATGGTGGTGGTGGTGGAAAACAGGCCAATCAGGAGGGGGCGTGCATGGGAGTCCAAAGGGGTATCGGGTCGGGTGAAAGGGGGGGATAGCAGAGGGGGGGCTTGAGAATCAGCTCACGCAGCTGATTTTCCCGGCGCCTCCCGGCGCCGGGAGGCGCCCATGTATCGAGGAATGGGGCCCCTCGGCGGGGCCGAAACCAGCTGCATGCAGCAAATTTCGCACCCCCCCCTTTCCCAATCCCCCCCTTTCGTCCGGTCCGAGGGTACCGATACCGCCCCAGACATGATCGCGTCGGAAGAAAAATCTGGACGAGTTTTTTTTTTGAACTTTCGGCCCTGGGGGGCCCGGGCCTCGGGACCGTCAAGAAAGGACTCAGGACGAGAAACCAGTCCTGGGGAAAGGGCCGGGACTTCCAGGGACGCCGTCCTGAAAAAAATATCCCGGCAAAGCAACCTAACAGCGATGTGTAGAAGCATATCTGAAAGCATTCCCCTTAAGATTCAGATGAAAATCCAGTTGTAGAATTCTGCTGTTCTCGCAGTCGTAGTCGCATTCGCGATGACAGTCGCAGCGGCAACGGCAGTCGCAGTCACAGCCTCAGCCTCAGCCTGCCTCAGCCTCAGCCTCAGCCTGCCTCAGCCTCAGCCTGCCTCAGCCTCAGCCTCAGCCTGCTTCAGCCTCAGCCTCAGTCTGCCTTCAGCCTCGGCCTCAGCCTCAGCCTGCCTCAGCCTCAGCCTGCCCAGCCTCAGCCTCAGCCTCAGCCTGCCTCAGCATCAGCCTGCCTCAGCCTCAGCCTCAGCCTGCCTCAGCCTCAGCCTCAGTCTGCTTCAGCCTCAGCCTCAGTCTGCCTTCAGCCTCGGCCTCAGCCTCAGCCTGCCTCAGCCCCAGCCTGCCTGCCGCAGCATCAGCCTGCCTCAGCATTCAAAATGTGGCCCAGGAAAGGGAGTTCTGGGAAGTCGAAGAGCACGAAGCCTACAGTTGGCTCCGGGCATTCAAAATGTGGCCCGGGAATGGAGTTCTGGGAACTCGAAGAGCACGAAGTGGCCTACAGTTGGCTCCGGGCATTCAAAATGTGGCCCGGGAATGGAGTTCTGGGAACTCGAAGAGCACGAAGTGGCCTACAGTTGGCTCCGGGCATTCAAAATGTGGCCCGGGAATGGAGTTCTGGGAACTCGAAGACCACGAAGTGGCCTACAGTTGGCTCCGGGCATTCAAAATGTGGCCCGGGAATGGAGTTCTGGGAAGTCGAAGAGCACGAAGTGGCCTACAGTTGGCTCCGGGCATTCAGAATGTGGCCCGGGAATGGAGTTCTGGGAGGTCGAAGAGCACGAAGTGTGTGACTGTTTGCTTAAAACGACTTCTGCGGCACCCTGTCCGGCACCCGCCCAGACACCCCTGTGGAGTCATCTGCTGCTCTCTTTTAAGACTACTAGAAACCTATCAGTCTTCGCTGTTAGGTAATCAGGACGTCGCATGTCTGGGGCTACTACTCCCTGGACCTCTCCTGGTGCGCCATGGCCAGAACTGCGAGGCGGACCCAGCGGTGGCGCCGAGGGCCTCTCAGGAGGCCCCAAAGGAGGAAAACGAGGGAAGCCCAGACCCTTGACGTCACGATTTTTCCATATAACATCGACCCCCAGCGCCCTTTCGGCGCGTCCGCGGCCGGTAGCCGCCCGCAGATCGTCGTCGTCGTCGTCGTCGTCGTCGTCGTCGTCGTCGTCGCCGCCGCCGTCGTCGTCGTCGTCGTCGTCGTCGTCGTCGTCGTCGTCGTCGTCGTCGTCGTCGTGGTCGTCGCCGTCGTCGACTTCGTCGTCGGCGGCGTCGTCGTCGTGGGTGTCGTCGGCGGGCAGCGCGGGGGCGGGCCGCTCGAGTTCTGGCCGTTGAGGGAGGCCAGGCCGGGGCACTCCAGGAGGGCCTGGCTCCCGCCGGCGGAGCTCCGGCGGCATCCGGGCGGGGGGGGGAGCGCAGCGCAGACCTGCTCTCGCAGCGCGGGAAGAAAAACACGACGAGGGGTTTTTGGCCGTCTTCGGCCTCCAATACGAGGCGGGGAGTTATCCGTAGCCACCGCCTGGGAACCGACGTCCTGGTGCCCCAGCGGGCAGTGGACAGGGATGTATCGTTTGGCCCCTGGAGGCCCGAATAGATCCATGTCGACCGCCTGTGGAGACCCGCGGAGACCGATCCCCTGGGCGGTGGTTGTGGTTAAGTCCCCGCCTCGGATCCAGGGCCCTTGCCAGGCCCTGGGAGCACCAAGCAGCGATTCAGGATGAAAGCCCGACCCTGGGTCGGGGATCTTCTGACCAGGGTCAATCCAGACCCGGGTCAGTCAGGCCTAACAGGATCCTACACCCAAACACGGGTCCATGCAGCCCTGGCTCTGCAGGATCCTGCAAGATCTGGCACTCTGACTGACCTCCGTTTGCATTGACCCCCATCTGGGGAAAGGATTGGGACTTCCAGAGGCCCCCCACTTTTGAAAAAAAGACGACATCGCATGTCTGGGGGGGGCGGCAAGTTGGGTGCGCTCGTGCCATATTTGACACTCTGCCAATCCCTCACTTCCCTTCACATTGCGCTGGCTATTTCTCTACCCGCCTACGAGTGTCATAGCGGACCTGGAACAACAAAAAACACCCCTGTCGTGTTATGCGCCATCAGAATGCGGGAGCTGCGCACAGTGGAGCAGGTGGCGGATGAGAAGGAGGAGGAGGAGGAGGAGGACGACGCCGACGACGCCGACGACGACGATGATGACGATGATGACGATGACGATGACGATGACGATAACGATGACGATGATGATGATGATGATGATGATGATGATGATGATGATGATGAGGAGGAGGAGGAGGAGGAGGAGGAGGAGGATGGTGATGGTGATGGTGATGGTGATGGTGATGGTGATGATGATGATGATGATGATGATGATGATGATGATGACGCTGATGCTGATGATGATGAGGAGGAGGATGATGATGATCAGGAGGAGGAGGAGGAGGAGGAGGAGGAGGAGGAGGGAGGACGAGGAATATCAGCAGCAGTATAAGTGAGAGGAGCGCGAAAAGCAGGATGCCCAGGGGACGGCGGGGGAGGGAAAGGAGCGGGGCGACAACGATGAAGAATAACTCGGATCCAGAGAAGCGGCCCGCGCTAGGGCGAGAGCGCCACTCTGAACGACGGGAGCAAAGCACCGATCCTACAATGAGGCCCACACTGCAGCGGGGAAGCACCACTTTGAAACATCCAAAACGCGTTCGGAATGGGTCAAGTGTGAACATGTCTTGAAATCCTGTAATGCACGGAGAGGGCGGGATGCTTTTAGGACGTAGTTGGGGAGCATTCATATTCAGTGCCCGCCAGTCGGAAAAGGCACGTGGAAACATGAAGTAAGAAGGCGGATCAAGTAGATCGGGTTCGGGCCCACCCAAGGAGCAACAAAAAACAACACGAACATATCGATTCTTGAAGTCGGAAGGCGAATGAAGTAGATCGGGATGAGGGAATCTGAAAATACCTGCTTTCAACAAGCGGCGTGTACTCTTGGAGGGGGAGGCGGGCGGAACAGGGCCCTGGGGAGGCGGACGGAAACCGGAGGAGAGAAGGCGGGCGAGGGACGAGGGACCAGGGAGGGAAGGAGAGGGGGACCGGGGAGGGAAGGGGCGGGAAGGTAGGAGGGAAGGGGCGGGAAGGGAGGAGGGAAGGGGCGGGAAGGGAGGGAAGGGGCAGGGAGGGACGAGGGACCAGGGAGGGAAGGAGAGGGAAGGGGAAGGGAGGAGGCGGGGCGAACCGAATCGAATCGAGCTCTGGGTGCAGCAAGTCAGATCGTCCGCCCGTGAGAGGTCTGAGCCACTCCTGGTAAGCTCTTACCAATTGACAGCACAACATATCTGCCTGCTACGACACCCGGAGGACCCATCAGGGAACTTGGGACAGAGGGGGGAGAGTTAGAGATCTCGGAAGGATAAAGGAGAAGTGGGGAGGGGAATGCATGGCAGCTCCTGCCTTTGCGGGTACGATTCGGAAGTGCGCGCCAGCCGCGGTCCGAATCGGAAGCTCGCGCACATCAAGATTGCGGCGCGAGCCTTCGCTGTCACCTGCGTGGTGGCGATGATGATTGTGAGAACGATGGGAAAGACAACCAACGATGACCACGGTTGGGACGATGATGCTTAATCGCCCAGTCTCTATTGTCTTTCCCTGACGTGGCTGCCGCGGCTACCAGACACCCAGACACGGTGTCAGGAGGCGCGATCGGGGACATCGCTTATTTGCGCACCAGGGTTCAGGATGACTTGAGTTCACGACATTCCCTCCAATCAAGCTGGAGCAAGGAGCAAAGAGTGAAGAGTACCTAGCTAAGCTAGGTTTCCTGGAAGAGAGCTACTGGATTTGCTCAGGGAGTTGGACCTCCCAATAGTTGGAACCTCAGGAGGGCAAGGGGAGGGGGTAAGGGGGAATGCGGTAGAAGAGGCGGACCAAAGGAGAGACAGAGTAGTCCGAGCGCCCTCTAGGCAACGGCAGGTCAAAGAGTGGATAGGGTCAAAGATATCCACGAGTGGTCGAGTCTCGCCCCTGGGATACGCTCGCCACGAAGTCGAAGCGAGAGGGTGCCCAACCCGCCACCGTGTCCCTGGCACGTCGAGGCGTGATCAAATGCCAACCCAGAGGAATGCCCCCCCCCCGCGCCCCACGACTATGAAACTGAACAAGTGAAGCGGAGCACACCTCAAGCGCACTGGCAAAGAGGAGAGGGGAGAGAGAGACGGGGCAGCAAGACAGAAGAGGTCACAGACTCATCCCCGCTTGTTGCTCGAGGACCATTGGCAGCGAAAAACGTTAACCCAAGATCGTGCTAGACTTCTATCATCTGTTCCATGGCAGAGACCGTTTGCGCCCCTTGCTCTCGCGGACGCCCTCTGCCGCGGTGGCGTGCCCAAGTCTTTAAGGGTACCACATGGGTTGCACACGAGACGTCGTAGTACATAGTTCCGCTATCATAATGTACAGCGCCGTTTGGTGCAAAATTTGTGACAGCGGTAAAGATTCAGCCGTTTCCAAAACACTCGGCGTTAGAGATTCGCAGTAGTGGGGATCCGAGGAAGCCAAAGGCACTGCTTGTCCTAAGGTTGTTGAAAAATCTGGACGTCCTCACCCTTTTTTGAGGAATGAAAAAAACGCCCCTACCCTGGGTTACAAGTGCGTGGTCAGTAAACCTCCTGGGAGCTCCCACAGGCCAGAGAGCTGCCAGAACGCCTCGCGGCACGCGCGATACGCAGGATTTACCCTAGGGATGGTTGGCTTGCGCGCAGCAAGGAATATGATGGCATGCTCGCCTTCCCTGTCAAAAAAACATGGCCAAGTGGTTGTGGGGCGCCCGCGCATGCTCCAGATGTGGAGGCAAGGCGAAGGCAAAGGAGGAGGAGGAAGAGGAGGAGGAAGAGGAGGAGGAGGAGGAGGTCAGCCCATAGGAGGTTCAGCGCACAGCGCCTCATAAACCAAGGTAGAGGCGTTTGTTACGCCCTCGACTTTTCTGGGGGCCCTCTTCAACTCCAGACGGCCCCGGATACCTCCAACCCCCGAGACGGCCCAAAAGAGGCCCAACCATGGCCCAGTGATCCTCCCAGACGGCCCCAATGAAGGGGCCCTGAAACACGCAAATAAGTAGACTCAAATCAGAGGATTCCCCACATTTCCCCATATTTTCTGGGTTTCTGTCTTCCCCCCCACCTTCCCATATTTTCCCATATTTTCTGGGGGATCGACGATTAATTGTGTCTGTGTGTTTTTCTTCCCTCCTGACTCAAGACAGCCCAGGAGGACCCCGGCCGGCCCAAGACCGCCCAAAATGAGCCCCGAGCTGGCCCACCGGAGCCCACGGAGGGGCCCACGACGGCCCCAGGGAGAGCCCCCTCGACGGCCCAACAACGGCCCAACAACGGCCCCACGACGGCCGCAAGGCACACACCCAAGACGGCCGCCCCGCAGGGGCCCTGAAAACTCGGAGGAAAGGAAGGACGACAAGAAGACGGAAGGATAACCCCCGACATGACGCGGATTAGTGCGGCATGCTACGGCTCTCCCAGACTGAAGGGGCCCTGGGACGCACAAAACGGTGGACACCGATGCCAGGATTCCCCATGTTCTCCATCTCTTCTGTGCTTCTGCCTTTCCCCCCCCCCCCACTTCCCATATCTTCCCACATCTCCTGGGCATCGTCGGTAGTTTGTGTCTGTGTGTTTGTGTCCTTCCCGAATTCTACGGCTCTCCCAGGCCTCGAGACACGAGGTGTCCTACGTCCCGGCCTCCGCTGCCCCGACCCCGTGCCGCCGTCCCCCCCAAAAAATGCTCGGCTGGCACGGCGGCCGGACCTGCCGCAGGCAGCTGGACATGGGGCGCACAAAGACATACTAGTACTATGTGTTCTCCTTGGCGGCGCGCGTCCGACTCGAACATACAGTATACCCATCTTGTAGTATATCGTTTCCCGAGCGGTGTGGCCAGAAAGCGCCCGCAACGACGCATATACTATAAGATTTCTCGGTGCGCGCGTCGCCCCTGGGGGGGGGGACGCACACGTAGTATTAGCATGTTGGGGTGTCGCCGAGGACAGAAAGAAGAAGCACAAGAGCGAGCAGCGGGGGAACGAACAGTGGCATAGAGATAAAAGCTCGGAGGTCGCGCGGATTTCTCGGATCGGCGCTTGACCCCCGTCCCTGGCGCGCGGAGCGCGCCAGGGGCGGCGCCGGAGGCGCCGCCAGGGGGGTCCAGCGCGGATCCGAGAAATCCGCGAGGATCGACGAGTTATCATGTTTATGTCATTGCTCTTTCCCCTAAGCAGTGCCACAACAACACGTCGACAGGGCCTCGCATGCTGCTGGATGTCCGTGTCTTGCAGCCAAGTGCAAGGCCTCGCCACGGAAAGAACGACCGAATCGACACATGTCCAGCATCATCATGTGTGCAATCCCATTCAATCCTGTCTAGGCAATGCAAGTGCACATGCTGCACATCTTCGCCTCCCGCAAATGCACCTCGTCACTCCGAGAGCCGCGCTCTGCACACCCCGGCGACAGCAAGGCTCCGCGCCAGCATCGCAAGACTGAGAAGACGAATCTGGGCAGAGGCCCAGAAGAGTCTGCCGACGACCAGGGCAACGACGCTGCGGTGAAGCAAACAGCTGGCACTCCTCCCTCGTCACCCCCCCCCCTGGCTGCCCGAGACGCGCCGTGCCCGCCACGCAGCACGGCCCTTCTGGGATTTGGGGGGGGCGTGCGAGAGGTTATGAGGGGGCCCTGGGACACACAAATAAATACACACAAATAAAAATATCCCTCATATTTTCCCATATCTTCTGGGTTTCTGTCTTCCCGCCCACTTCCCATATTTTCCCATGTTTTCTGGGAAATCGAGGATTAATTGTGTCTGTGTGTTTCTTTTCCTCCTGAGGTTAAGCCTACTTCCTCCAACAGCCCTTGCACCCACATCTTGCTGCCCCTCGGGGGGGCCCGCCGAGGATTCGCCACGTTGCCGCCCAAGGCCGCCTCGTCACCGCTCGGGGGGTCCGCCGAGGGCTCGCCACGCCGCCGCTCCTTGCCGCCCGTGGCCGCCCGTTGCCGCCCGTCGCCGCACCGTGGCCGCGCGGGGGGCCTGCCGAGGACTCGCCACCTCGCCGCCCGTCGCCGCCTCGCTGCCGCTCGGGAGGTCGCCGAGTGGCCGGCCAGCGCCGCCCGTGGCCGCCCGTCACCGCCTCCTTGCCGCCTCGTGGCCGCTTGGGGGTGTCCGAGGATTCGCCACGCTGCCGCCTCGCTGCCGCCTCGCTGCCGCCTCGTTGCCGCTCGGGGGGTCCGCCAGGGACTCGCCACGTTGCCGCCCAATGCCGCCTCGCTGCCGCCCAGTGCCGCCGCATTACCGCGCGGGGGGCTCCCCCGAGTATTCGCCACGTTGCCGCCCGTTGCCGCCTGAAGCCGCACGTGGCCGCCTCGTTGCCGCCTCGTTGCCGCTCGGGGGGTCCGACGAGGATTCCCCCCATTGCCGCCCGTTGCTACCTCGCCGCCTCGTTGCCGCTTGGAGTGTCCGCCGAGGATATGTCACGTTGCCGCTCGTTGCCGCCTCGTTGCCGCGTCAGCACATAGCTTATACCATACTGCTTGCACCACAAAGCTTACACCACTTAGCTTCTACCAAATGGCTTACACACCTACAGTGCAATAACTTAAGTACTGTTAGCGGTCCACTCTGGCCAACATGATTATTACTAGAGGAATGTTGAAGGAGGGGATCTGGTAGAATGGGCGGACCCATCCTTCCCCCTTGTCCTCGAGGCTCCTCCTCCTCCTCCTCCTCCTCCTCCTCCTCCTCCTCCTCCTCCTCCTCCTCCTCCTCCTCCTCCTCCTGCAGCCCCCGCGCGCAACCCCGTGCACGCGAGGGGGAATATGTCGGTCGGATCTGCAGGATGACCAAGTCGAAATTAACGCCGACTTCGGGCTGATCGCAGCGCGCATGAGGCCACGATGGCCTCTCGTCGAGAAATTGGCAGCCGCCCCCGGGGAAACCCTGCAGCCGGAGAGAAGAGGGGGAGCAGCTTTTGAGGTAGGGGGGGGCACGAGTTGTGCCCCCCCCAACCGGAGAAGAGGAGGAGGAGGAGGAGGAGCAGCAGCAGCAGCAAAATACAGGGTGGGAGGTTACGTAAACAAGAGGCCTCTCTGGACATGTGCTCATTCGACTGGACGCAGCTGGAATATCTTGAATATCATCGCTCATCCTTCCTCCACTTGCTCCTCCTCCACTTCCCTCCTTCCCCCTCGTCCCCCTCCTCCGCCTCCGCCTATTTCATCCTCCGCCTCCTCCCCCTCCTTCTCCTCCCGCCCTTCTACCTCCATCCTTCTCACCTCCGTCGAGACATTCTACGTCCACGAGCGAGGAGAGAAGGGGGGCGGCTGCGATTTGCAGGGACAAGCAAGGCAACTGCACCACAACGCCAGACGGTGTTATTGGGTCGTGTGGTGCAGATACTTCGGCCTATTCAAGCCTATGGTGAAACATTTGTTCAATCCCAGCGTCTTTCTAAATCTCTGCGTCGAGGTGCTGTTTAACTCCAGGATAAATTAGATGCTACCCGCGACAAAAAAAAAAAAAAAAAAAAAAAATCTGGGGATGAGCTCGAGATCTCCCTGGGGCCACACTAGAACAAAGTAATCGATCAACGGAAACAACGACTTTCGGTTATGTGGTATTGTATCTCTTCGGTCCCGCCTGACTGGTGTGTGTCTTTCCGCTTGATCCTCGATATTGGCCTCGCTCAGCTCTCAAAGAACGCGAGCCCCAAAAAGAGGAAGCATCCCTGCAAGGAGAGGAGGCCGACCGTATTGCCGTTGGCTGACGGGGCATTCAGCTTCTCGAAGTCCCCCCGCTGAGCCAGCGCCTGACCAGGGCAGTGCGGAGGGTGGCATGCCTTGCTCCGCGCGGAAAGTCGATGGCGCGAGAGCGCCTGGTTTGCCTCTCCCCCCTCTTCCCCCTCCGCCCTGGCGTCTTCCCCCTTCTCCCCCGCCATTGCCTGGTGACCCGCCTGATCCCAGACCCCCCC